TTGGCTACAAAACCAGTTCAAGACCAGCCTGGCCTATGTGAGACCTGTCCCCCCCCCAAAAAAAAGTGTCCAGATGCCGTGACACACATCTGTAATCACAACAAGAGGCTGAGTTAGAGGCATGAAGAGATGGCTCAGCAGTTCAGAGCACTGGCTGCTCTTGCAGAGACCTAGGTCCATTCCCAGAACCCACACAGTTGCTTGTGACTACCTATTCCAGTTCCTGGGGGTCTGACGCCCTCTTATGGCTTCCATGCACTAGACATGTTTGTGTACAGACACACATGAAGGCAAAGCACTGGTACACATAAGAGAATGAAATGAAAGCATGAGGCTAGGGGTAGAGGGCTTCAAGCTCAAAGCCTGCCTGGGCTGCATCATGAGAATCCCGCCTCAAACTTCAAGCGCATTCGTGATTCCTCGGAAACTAGGATGTAACTGGGCATCTGGTGTTCGCACTCTTTACACCTGGCAGCTTCTCATCAGCAGCCTTCGGGTTATAGAAGCACGTGTCATTCTTCACCGTCACGCCCACCTCTGAAATGGGGACAGAGATAAGCAGGATTGTCCCCAAAACGCACGTTACACTGAACGTTTGCGGGCAGTGGCAGTGTTTCCTGAGAAAGGGTCTGGTGTATGATATATATTAGCTGATGATGTCTGCCGTGGATGCTGGGAGCGGCAGTGGCAGAATCAGGACTGTAATCGATTAGCAATGCCTGCTTCAAGGAGGAAGGGCAGCCCTGTGAGTAGTTAGTAATGAACACAGCCTGAAGAAGTGGTACTCATGCAGCTGCTTTTCCCTCCCTCCTTCTTTCCTTCCTTCCCTTCTAAGGATTTTATGTGTGTCGTGTTTTGTCTGCGTATATGTATGTGCACTGTGTGTGCAGTGCCCATGGAGAAACTGGAGTTACAGAGGTTGTGAGCCACCATGTGGTTGCTGGGAACTGAACTCAGGTCCTCTGGAAGAGCAGCCAGTGCTCTTAACCACTGAGAGATCTCGCCAGTCCCCTCACCCCCAACCCTTTAGAATACACTGTGTAGCCCAGGTTGCTCCAAACTCGCAATCCCCCTGCCTCTGCCTCCAGGGTGCTAGGTTTACAGGCATTGCCACCACACCCCACACCATATGCCTCTTCTCTTCTACCCCTGCCCTAGAGTGTGTACCTGGGGCACTGAGGAGCCCCGAGGTCCTGGCCCTGGCCCCTGTAGTGTTAGGGAGTGGAGAACAGCCCAGCCAGTGTCGCAGGTGGATGCTGTGGGGGATGAGACTGACCTTGGGTACAATTGCAGACCCATCATCCTGGATCCAGCTGACCCCACAGGCAACCTGGGCCGCAATGCCCGCTGGGACCTGCTTGCCCAGGAGGCTGCAGCCTGCACATCTGCCCTGTGCTGCATGGACAAGGACGGCACCCCCATCAAGCCGTGGCTGGTGAAGGTGAGAGGCATGTGAGGTAGACAAGAGCATCCTTTGGGAGAGGACATGGTCATGAGCAGACATGGTCCTCTCTGAGGGGCGGGACCCAGCGGGACCCACCCATGGCCCCTGAGGATCTGTACGTGTGTGGTCTCAACGCTGCAGAAATGCTAAGGTAACCAGCATGTCTTCCTTCCCACAGGCTTCTGTATGACGTCCAGAAAGATCAGTGGTCACATCAGCTGAGAGAAAATGACACCAGCCCTCAGTATGGGAGACTTGGAGTATTGGGCCAGATGTGTGTGTGTGTGTGTGTGTGTGTGTGTGTGTGTGTGTGTGTCTGTGTCTGTGTCTGTGTATGTCTGCATGCATATATGTCTTTGTGTGTCTGCATGTGTATATGTCTGTGTGTTTGTCTGTGTCTACATGTGTTCTGTGTGTATCTGTTGGTGTGCATCTGTGTCTGCATGTGTGTTTGTATGTGTGTCTATGCGTCTTAGATTGTGACTGTGTGTGACTTTATGTGTATATGTATGTATGTTTGTGTGTATGTGCACATGTATATATATATATATGCATGTATGTGTATATGTATGTGTGTCTGTGTGTGCCCCCTTCACACCGTCTCCCATCTGATTGCCTGCTCACCCACCACCCTGTCATCCCTCCCCGATTTACCCACCTAGTGGAGTTTCATTGACCTCTGCTTTGATCACCCAGTGTCCCTGACTCCCATGCTAGGCTCCGGAGGATCCAGACATCTCAGGCTCTGCCAGTCTACTGTTCAGCACCCACTGTGCCCTGCCTCCACCCCCACAGCCACACCCAGCAGCAGCCCAGCCCTGCCAAGATGCCACGCTCCTCTCTGGTATCCCTCCACCTGCAGAGACCCCCCCCCCTAGTTGTGGTCCAGATATGTTCCCCGTGTAATGTGACCATGGCCATCATGGAGCAGAGGTTGTGATGCTGGCTACAGAATACCTGGGTCCACAGCCATGCTAATGACATAAGCAAAACAAGTGATACCTGGGCCTTAGGGACGTAGAAGGAGCAGGAAGGACCCCAAGCCTCACCTATGGTTCCACCCACTCCCTCAAGAGGTAGCGCCTAGGGCGGGGAGGGTAAGTGAGAAGTGCAGGGATACAGCATTCCTGACTCAGCACCGATGAAGGCTGAGACTTTTTGATAATGCAGTGCTTGGGGGTCACCCACACCCTGCAACCCCCAACTCATGCCATTAGTAACCCCAATAAACCCATTAGCTCACCACTTAGACTAGGCATCTTTTCCTTGTTCAGTCTTTGTGCCCTGTCTGGGTTGAACAGCATTTGTTCACGTCTCCCCAGGAAAGGTCAGGCCACTCTGCCTCCTGATGTCTGATGCTCCCAAATGCAATAGAAACAGGGTCCTGATGAGAACAGGAAGGGATGGGTTAGCAAGCCCTTGACCCAGAAACCAATTTTCCAGAACCTTCACCTTCGCCACACAATGGGTGGGCTGTGGATGGGCGGTGTTTGTCCCTTGTCCTCTGATTCCCACCAGGGCCAGGGTGATGCCAGGCTGTCTCCAGGACAAATGTCTACTTATCTGTCTTAAATGGGAAAATGCCTCCAATCCCCTAGCCAAGTCTAAGTGACAGCTAGGAACCAGGGGGTGGAGGGTAGGGAGACATATCTTATGAATAGCCCAGCCCTGCACACAGGAAGCAAGTGCCAGATACCGGGAGCAGTGTGGCCACAGCAGGGTCCTCCAGAGGGACCACCTGAGGGGTGGACATGGTAGTGATCCTTCCACAGGAGAATGAGAAACGGAGGAAGGTGGCTGCACTTGCCCATCCCCCATCAGGAGTGTCTCAGACAGCCTGGCTCTCCCTGGACCACAATTGGGACAGAACAACAGGGATGCAGGAGGACAGCGCCTCCCTAGTATTTTCAGCCTTGCAGCCCATTCCTGCCTCCTCAGCTTAGCCCACAGTGACCAGCCTGGGTGAGGGGCATCTCCTGCTCTTGGCTCCAGGCAACCCCAGTGGGCTTGGTCCCAACTTCACCTCACCTAGCCAACTCACGGAGAATGCCAACAAGACCCCAAATTATGTCTCTTGATGGCTGCTGGTCACAACATCCTCGGATCTCTAGACCAGTGGTTCTCAACCTTCTTAAGGCTTTGACCCTTTAATAGAGTTCTAGGTACTCGTCTGTGGGCATACCAGCATGTGGGCGGACATACAAAGACCATTGGAAATACGTGTGATCTGATAATCTTAGGCAACCCCTGTGAAAGGGTTGTTTGACCTAGAGGGGTTGAGACCCACCGCTAGAAAACCTCCGGTCTAGACAAATGTGACCAGACCTATGTTTCCATGGAATCTAGCAACAGGTGGGGCAACGGCCTAGTATCCCAGCCCCTCTTCCCACCACGCAGACTTTGAACCCTTTTGCCAAAATGGCTCCAGAACTGGGGTGGCTGGCGGCTGGAGTGAGTGAGGAGTGAGGTCATGACTATTTAGGCATGGAGAGGCCTTGCTGACCTAAGCCCTTCCATCTCTGACAGCAGACACCACGGTGGTGTAAGTGAATCCTCTGAGCTCTATTCAGGTCATGGCCCTGGGGAGAAGTTCCAGAGGGGTCGTAGCTAGGACTGGGTGAGGTTTCCCACTTATACAACCCTAGCACTCAGGAGGCCGAGGCAGGGTCCCTGAGAGCCACTAATGTCCGTCCCCTGCAGTCATTTTCTGTCCTTAGCCTCACTTAGAGGAACTTCAAGAGTCCTTCTGCTTTCAGGGTTCCTGTAGGGAGCCAGTACTCCCAATGGTCCAGGACTCAGCGGGACTCTGCTTGCGGGGACATGCAAAACCAGTGAGCTTCCCAGGACACCATCTGCAACATAGGAAAGCTAAACACAATGTCCATCATACACTGAAGGAAGATACTATAATAATGGTTTATGAGAGGCTGAGGCAGGGGGATTACCAGTTCAAGGCCAGTTTGGGCTATATAGCAAGGCTCTGTCTCAAAACCAACACAAAATAATTATATTGAATTGGCAAAATTCCCCTTGTTTTAAATTTTATTTTTAAATTTTACTTTAAGTGTGTGTGTGTGTGTGTGTGTGTGTGTGTGTGTGTGTGTTAGGAAGCTACTCTTGACTCTTCAGGGACCCGTGTTCATCCAAAGGCAGAAAGGAAGCCTACATCTACCAGAGTACCTGCCATGCTGTGTGTCTTTGATAAGTCAGTAGCCTCTCTGGGCGCTTTCTCTACTGCTCAGCCTGGCACTGAGTGCTCCAGCCACTGTAAACAGGAGAAAAGGGCCAGTCTCCATGGACACTCTCCACCCTCTATCAAACCAAATTAGCTTAGTGATTACTGGTTTGGTTATTTTTAGACAGGTTCCCCTGATCTACAGATGGAGGAGATAGAGACACCAGGAAGTCAGTCCTGCTCTGAAGGACACACACAGGCCTCTGCGGAGGTGTTCACCTCTGGCTCTGGAGTGGTGTGTCCCGGGAGAGGCTGGCTAGCAGGAAGTTCCCCATGCAGCTGCTGGGCAGAGACTCCCACACATGGGTTTCGATTTCCTAGGCAAGGCTGTGATGGAGGCGGGGCAACAGGTTTGGTCTCAACTTCCTCTATGGAGTCACACCCCCCTGTAGTGGGGCAGAATCCCCAGGACCTGACCTACAGGGCCATCCCTCTGCCATTACAGCATTCTTGAGGCCAGCTAGCAACTATGGGAAATTGGCTGGGTGGCCAGTCATCTGCCGGGCCATCTGGGGGGTCACTTGGGGAGCCATCAGCGGGACCACCCTGGAGGTCATCCGATGGGTTATCCGGCGGGTGGCCTGACTTGCCCGCAGTGCCAGCACACAAGCTAAAAGACTTTATCCACGCAAAACTCAAACCCAGTGAAGAATGCCTGAAACTGATAGACCAGGACGTGGATGCCATCTCTGACTTCCTGCGGAGCAGTGAGCTCCCTGTGCGGGGAGTGGCTACGGTAAGAGCCAGGTTGGAGACCCAGGCTGTTCCCCTCCCCCACCTCCACTCCCCAAGGTGATGCTGGGCACTGCTCCACACCAGGCCCTGGCGACTGCACTTCCCAAGGTTTTTCTCCCTCTGCGGATGCGAAGGCAGACTGTTCGGGGGCCCAAGCAGCAGCCACGTCGCCTTCTGCCTGGCGACGCCTCTGGCAGGCGGCTGCATCTCTCTGTACCACAGTGTCTGGGTCTGTAGAATGAGATCAGCCTAGACCCCACTTCAGAGTGTTGTGATGGTGAGACACACAGTGTTCCCAGCAGCACAGGGTCCTGCTGTAATCTGTGCTCAGTAAATTAGCGGGGATTGGATACATGCATATGCGCATACGCGCTTTGCTGTATGGCATCTTTGACTCGATCTGTGAGAGATTTGTTTGTGCCGCCGTTTTCGTTCTTGTATGGTACTCCACTGTGCCATGTATTCATCATATTGCAGTTTTCTTTGCCTCCAGTTTGGAGCTCGCGTACCGACACGGATGCAAATTAGTGCCAGCAACCCGATTTTAAAATGATGGTGGCATTTGGGAATTTCACTGGACTTGACAAATGTCACTGCTTGGAGCTACAGAAAGTCCAGACCTCACTATTGCTGCTTCACTCCCTGCAGGGTGGCTCCTATGGCCGGGAAACAGTCCTAAGAGGCTACTCAGATGGCACCCTTGTTCTCTTCATGGGTAACTTCCGTAGCTTTCGGGATCAGAAGGAAAACCAACGTGAACTCCTCAGTGTGATTGAACAACGGCTGAAACACCACAAGAAATACTCTACGTCAGTGAGCCTTGGGCACACCCTTGAAGTCCTCCTGTCCGTACATGGGCAGGAGATACTCTTGCAGGTCCTTCCAGCCTTTGATCCTCTATGTGAGTGCTCCAGGGACTGGGGTGGGGTCCCAAACTTTCTGGGAGTACTGGGGAGCCACTTGAGTCCTACAGGCTGAGGCTGTGACAGACAGACTGGTTATTTCCAAAATGGGGCTTGCAACCCCCTGTCTGAGTCACTGTTCTGTTACTGCCCAAGGCAGCTCTTTAAAAAAAAAGAAGCATTTGATTGGGGGCTGGCCTACAGGTTCGGAGGGTTAGTCCCTCATCATCATGGTGGGAAGCAGACAGGCATAGCACAGGAACAATAGCTGAGTGCTTCATATCCTCATCCACAGGCAACAGGAAGAAAGAGAGTCACTGAGTCCAGCAACACACTGCCTCTAACAAGGGCACACCTCCTAGTCCTTCCCAAACAATTCAACTGGGGACTGAGCATTCAAACATATGAGCCTCTGGGACTCAATACCACAGCCCCCAAGAGAGAAGAGCCTCCTACCCTGGGCATATTCTATCTAGAACTTCATTCTCATCTCATTTACTTTAGATAAAATGTTCCAAACTCTTTTTATCGGTGAGTGGGTGGATCAGAGTTGATGGCTGGGTGCTCACTAGATGTATGGATGGGTAGAAGTGGGGGACCGATGTATGTGTAAGAGGACATATGGATGGATGAGTGGACAGATGGGAAAATGGGTGGATGTGTGAATGTATGTTTGGATGGGTGGAAGGAAGTGGGGATGTATAGACAGATGGAAAAGTGAATGGATGTAGGGATGGACAGACAGATGAACGGGGAAACAGAAGGACAGGAATGGCTGGTGGCTATGCTGCCAATGGTAGATTCAACTAGTCTGACAGCCCAGGGCTTCTGAGCTAGGGGCTAGGGTGCCTCCATTGTCCACAATTCCGAGGAACTTCTGGGTTACTGGAACTGTGAATGAGCATCACCTGGCCATTTTCTGACAAGATGGAGATGTGCATACACCCACATGACAGCATTCTCAGGGTGATGGCCTGAATCAGAGAGCAATGCAAGCTGCCACCGTGGGCCCTTCTCATCTGTTAGGGTTTGAAGCACTCAGTCCCCAGCTGGTGGCACTAATTTGGGAGAGTGTAGAGCCTGTAGGAGAAGGGTCCTTGCCACAGGAAGTGGGTGGCCTGGAATTGAGCCTGGAAGGTGATAACCCCACCCTGCCTCCAACCCCACTTCCAGTGTGTTTCCTGATCCAAGGAGGAAGCACTCAGCGTCAGCTCCTGCAGCCATGTCTTCCCCAGCAGTGACCCAAGAGAAAGCTTTCCCCCACTTCAGTTGCTTCTGTCAGGTGTCTCATCCCAGGGACCAGAAAAGTAACTGATACATGACCCCATGGGTCCCTTTGTCACCGACTCTAAGATCAGGGCAGCTAGCTTCCAGGTTTGTTTGGTTGTAGTGGTGTGCCTGCCTCAAAAGAATGGAAGTCAGCGGTGAGAGAGATGTGAGGCTCCATCGCTGCAGGAAATTATGGCTTCTCTCTTCTAAGGCCCTGGGCCTGGTGGCAGGAGACCAGCCCACCCTCTGCTTACTGCCCTGAGAAGGAAATGCTTCACATGTAGCACCCAGATGCTACCACCAGGTGGCGGTAGAGCTGAATCTTCCAAATTCCCTCCCCCACCCCCACCACCACCACCACACAAACACAGGGTTTCTCTGTGTAGCCCTAGCTGTCCTAGACCAGAGAATGCCTGCCTCTGCCTCCCGAGTGCTGGGATCAAAGGTGTGCACCACCAACCCTGGCAACATTTTTTTTTATTACAAGGAAGCAATAAATGTTGCTTTCTGAGAAAATAAGACCCTACAGAGGGAATCATAAATTGCTTACTTTACTATATAAAAATCCAACTAATCTGGTCTATGTGTCCCAAACAGATGAGGTAGGCTGCTGCTGCCATGGTTTCTTTCCCAAGGACCTTTAACCCAAAACTGGCTCCAGTTTATTTAACTTCAGGGCGTTTCTCTCAAGATAATTAACTTGATAGTTGCACCCCCACGAGAGGTTTATAAGACTTTCATGTTACATCACTGCATAAAGGACTTCAACTGTGCCTGTATACAGTCGACACTCAATAAATGGTAAGGCATGTGCCCAGCTCTTTCCAGGGTGTCCTTCCAGGGCTGCTCGCCCCAGGCTGTGCACCTAAATATATTTATGAATGGCAGAGCTCAGCAGGCAAGAATGGAAACTAATTGGCTCAACGCACCTCCACCCTTCCCCACTCCTGCCACCTCGACGCGTCCCTGACTCTGTAAGAGGTACCAGTAGAAGGCATTCTGTGGTACAGACATCCGCCAGTCGTGCAGACACCTTGCCCTCGGTCTCACTCTGGGGCATCTATTTCTCATGCGTAGTTCACTGCCTCGTGTTCTGCGTGACTCCGCTGACCCTGTCTCAGGTCCACCCCATCCTGCCTTCATGTCAGGCTTCCTGTTAGCCTTCATTATCTACCCGGGAGAGTAGCCCCACTGTTAACTAGACGTCTCCCCAGCTCCAGCTGACTCAGACCGCCATCAGAGTCGAGCGTCCTGCTGCTCTCTGTCAGCAGGCTTTGGTGAGGACTCCAGCTCCCGGATCTATCGGGATCTCAAAAGATCCATGGATCAAGTAAGAGCAGCGCCCGGCGAGTTTGCAGCCTGCTTCACCACGTTGCAGCAGCGGTTCTTCCAGCGGTACCCCAGGAGAGTGAAGGAGCTGATCCTGTTGGTCAAGCACTGGTATCAGGAGGTAATTTATGCCATTGCCTTGTTTCAAGAGGGTCTCAGGCTGCCTCTGCCTTTCAAGTGCCGGCATCAAAGCCATGTGCTACCACACCCCACTGTGTTACCTTTTAATTGAGATCATTCACAGCAAGCAAATTTTAATATTAACAACATACTTCCATCTAATTTGATCTCCTCTTCATCCACAAACCAAAATTGAGTATTTTCTCAACCCAAGCACCTAGGGGTCACACAACTGTGGCCCCAGTACTCAAGCAGTGGACGCGAGAGGATCTAGAGTGTAAGGCTAACCTCAACTATATAGCAAGACACTTTAAAAAAATCCAGAGACTGATGAGATGGCTCCGCAGTTAAGAGCACATATTGCTCTTCCAGAGGACCCAAGTTCAATTCCCAGCACCCACTTCAGGCATCCCACAATCAGCTTTAACTCCAGGGGGGTCTCACACCTCTAACCTATGAAGGCACTTGAACTCACACGCACAGACACACATAATAAAAAATATTAGGGTGCTGGAGAGATGGCTCCATGGTTGAGAGCACTGTCTACTCTTCTAGAGGACCTGGGTTCAATTCCCGGCACCCGCATGGCAAGTCACAGCCACTCCTCTTCTGGCCACCATAGATACCAAGCACACACATGGTACATGAACAAGCATACAAACAAAACACCCATACATATAAGTAATAAAAATTTGAATATATTAAAATAATTTTTAAATTCCAATAACCATCACCACAGATGAATCTTATTTAAAAGAATGTGATATGTGTATACGTGTGTGAGTGCACATGCATGTGTGTATGAGAGTGTGTTCATGCGTGTGTGCACAAGTGCATGAGAAATAGTGTGTGTGCATGTGTGTGGGGGGGGGGGAGTGGATGTGCCATAGTGTACGTGTGGCAGAGGACAACGTACAGAAATGAGTTTTCTCCTTCCACTATGTGGGTCCTGGGGATGGAACTCTCTTCATCTTGCCAGCCCCCCCTTATTTTCCAACACTGTAAATGGATCGTACTGCACACAGGTGGCATCTTATTTCACTCGTGTCTGAGAAATCCAGCCACGTCATTACATAGCAGTAGTTTTCATTCCCTCGTATATTCCATTATAGTAACACACCCGTGTTTTCCTCTCCGCTGCTGCTGGGCCCTTGGGTCATTTCCAGGTTGTGACCTCTGTGACTTGGGTTACTGTGGGTGTCCGTTGATATGTCTTTTGTGAACCTAAGCACTCATTGTTCTTGGGTAGACATGCAGTAGAATTGCTGGAGCCCCAGACACAGCCCCAGACAACATGTACATGTGTGTCTATATTTGCATACGTGGACTCTGCATGAAATATAGTGGAGCGTACTTATTTAGCTTTAATAAATTAATTATTTAATAAATAATCCAAGTGGATTTTTTAAACCACTCCACTGGGACTGGAGAGAAGGCTCAGTGAGGAAGGTACACACTGCACAGGCACGGAAGAGCCCACTACCCGTGTAAAGCCAGGAGTGGCAGCCTGTGTTCAGGAGGCAGACACAGGTGGATCCCCTGGGCTCACTGGCCAGTCACTGCAGCCGATCAGTGAGCCCCAGGTTCAGTGAGAGGCCCTGTTCCAAAACATAAGGTAGAGAGTGACTGAGGGAGACACCTGACCTTGACCTCTGGCCTCCTCACACACACTCACAAACACAGCTCATACTCACACGCATGCACACACTGACATGCATGTTTACACACTCACACTTCTGTGCTCACATATTTACTCACACAGCATGTGTTCATGCTCACACACTCATGCACACTCATGCATGGGCACATACACACGTTCACAATCACACAAATACTCACACAGTCACACACACACTCACAACACATATACACATACACTCACACCCGCCCAGGCTTACAACTGTATCACACACTCACACCCCTGTGAGAAGTGTGAGCATTCCAGGTGTTCCTTCCATCTCTTCATCTGTGTCTGATGGTACTGACACCTTGACTTCCAGGCACGGGGGACGGTGACATCTTCTAGCCTCTGGCTTCCTGACAGTCTTGTCTTCTCTCCCAGTGCCAGGAGAAGTGGATGACTTCCCCATCTCGGCGGTTCTCCTACGCCCTGGAGTTGCTCACTGTGTATGCCTGGGAACAGGGCTGCCAAGATGAGGACTTTGACATCGCAGAAGGTGTCAGGACCGTGCTGGGACTCATCAAGCAGTCGTCAAAGCTGTGTGTCTACTGGATAGTCAATTACGGCTTCGATGATGTAACAGTTCGCAACACTCTTCTGTGCCAACTCAGGTCCCAAAGGTACCCAGCTTCCTATCTCTCCAGCCGCAGGCCAGGGCCCCATTGAGAGTGAGTTCTGAGTCCTTGATGATATGGGAGATGGGGGATGAGAATCTGTCTACAGAGGAGATCCAGTCAATGCTTTCCACATTCCAAACCGTGGTCAGGCTTTGTCCCCCAAAGTCTGGAGGAAGGGGAGGAGTTCACAGCAAGAACCATGAGATCGAACATCTCTGGGAAGAGGAGGATGAGGAGTCAGTGTGGCTGGGTACCGCAGAGCCCTCAGGAGCCTCTCCCTTCTGTGTTGAGCGCACGCACACTCACATGCATCTGTACGGATGCACTTGGAGGTCAGAAGTTGACATCAGGCTTCACTCTCTGCTTATCGTCAAAGGTTCACTTCTTTTATGTGTATGCGTGTTCCCCCCGTGTGTATACCTCTAAACCACGTGCACACAGTGCGTATGAAGGCCAGGAGAGGATGTCAGAACTGCAGTTACAGATCGTTGTGAGTCACTACGTGAGTGCTGGGACTTGAACCCAGGTCCTCTGCAAGAGAAGTCGGTGCTCTTAACCTCTGAGGGGGTTCTCCAGCCATTTCACATTATCTGTTGACTCAGGGTCTCTCACCGATGTTCACCAATAGGCTAAACTGGCTCACCAGAGAGCCCCAGGACACACCTGCCTCTGCCTCCTCAGGGCTGGGATTACAAATACACCGGCATCTAGTTCTTATATGAGTCTTGAGGGTCCCCAACTCAGGGCCTTTTTGTGAGGCAGGTATTTTACCCACTGACCCGTTTCCCCAGACCAAATTCTTTATTAAAATTTGTGTGTCTGGCCGGGTGGAGGTGGCACATGCTTTTATTCCCAGCACTCCAGAGGCAGAGGCAGGAGGCAGAGGCAGGATCTCTGCAAGTTCAAGGCCAGCCTGGTCTACAAGAGCTAGTTCCAGGACAGGCCCCAAAGCTACAGAGAAACCCTGTCTCGAAAAAAAATTGTGCGTTTGTGCACCAGAAGAGGATATAGGTGTCCTTTGTGTATTATTCTGAGGCAGGGCTCTCTTCTTTACTCTGGGTTCTGGCTTTCTCAACTAGGCTGGAAGTCAGCAAGCCCCAGAGATCCCCATGTCTCTACCCCTCAGAGGTGGGACTGAAGTCATGTACAGAAACACCCATGTTGTTCGTGGGTCCTGAACACTGGTCCTTATGACTGAGTTCTAAACAGTCTTAGTTTCTAAACTATCTTCCCAGGCGCTGCTGGGCAGGGGGGGTGGGTTGAGGGGGACAGGCTCTCAGGATCTCACTGTACAATCCTGAATGGCCTGGAGCTCACTACGTAGACTAGGCTGAGCTCGAACTCAAAGAGATCCATCTGCTTCCGCCTCCCAAGTACTGAGATTAAAGATGTGTGCTACTAAACTCAGCCCTGATTTCTTTTAATCTGATAAAAATTTCTAGACCGGTCATCTTGGACCCAACTGACCCAACCAATAATGTGGGCAAAGACAATGGCTCCTGGCAGCTGCTGACAGAGGCGGCTCAGGCCTGGCTGTACTCTCCCAGCCTAAATGATATGTCACCTGCACAATGCTGGAATGTTCTGGTAAGAGGATGTCCACGCTGGAGAGAGGGTCCTCCTGATGCTGACTTGAGAGAGTGTGTCATGGCTGCCTGTGTGACTACTGTGACATGTCACACACTCAGTGTGGCTTAAAGCAACAGAATTCATTTCCCCCACTGCTCTGGATGCTGGGGGTTCAAAGACAAGGAAAAGGGGGAGGGCTGGACTCTCCCCGGACAGCTCTGATCCCTGGCTCGGCTTGTGACATCATCACCCTGTATTTCCCTCCACTGTCACATGTCTGCCCTGTCTTTGCTCCTTTTCCTTGATGTGGGTCTGTCTGGGGACCCCACTCCTCTAAGGATAATAGTCATATTTAGTTGGAGCTCACCCTCGTGACCCTCTCCTACCAGCTTCTCTAAGTCCATTTCCTATTAGGTCACGGTCAGAGGTACAACAGGTCCAAATCCTGATATATTTTAGGGAGATACAACTCAACCAACTCTTAGAGGCCACGAAGATGGCAGTGAGGTAGAAAAGTGGGGGCTATAAAGAAGGAGGGTTCCTCAGAAAAGAGATGGGTTTATTTCTGCAAGAGTGAAATCAGGAGGCAGGAGTTGGGGGCAGACAAGGAGCTGAGCCTCCTTGAAATGTGCAGAACTCACATCTGTGACTCCCAAGCAGACCCTGAGGCCCAGCCCCTGGGTGTGGGGCCAGCAGTGATGCAGATGTCATCTATCTGCCTGTCGAAATAGGGCATCAAGAGCATTCCCAAACCAGACCAGCTGAGTCTGTCCAAAGGCTGCCTTGTTGGCCTTCGAAGTGGGACAGAGGTGCCAATCACACCCCACCTGTGAGAACAGGTGGGTAGCAAACTTCTATCCAACGTGTGGAGGCAGGGGCCACACTCCATCTACAGAGCTACCAGTGTGGGACGGACAGAAGGAGGCAGAGTCTGTGAATGAGGTCGTTCCCCAGGTAGATGCCAAGGACTCCACAATCGCTCCCATGTCCCCCACCCTGGCCATTTTCACCACAGCCTGGTCTTTTACTTCCTTGGGACAACCTCCTTGGTCTCCTTCTGAGTTTTCAAACATCTATCTCTGCAAAAAGGGATGCACAATGCCTGTGTGAACTTCATAGGCAGGAACTCTGGCATTTGCCGTTGTTGGCTGGGTGACATCGCACACACACGCCCTCAGCTTCATCACTAGGGTGGTGGCTGCAAGTCACCAGAGTCTCTTGAGGGTGCTTCACTTCCACAACCACTGGGCTGTGGTCAAAACCAAATTTAAGTTCATAGTGCGATCAAATTATAAGACACATACACACACACCATCATCATATTCTGACAGCCATTCCAAGAGCACCCTGTAGGTCCCCCCTTCTAACACACAGGCACATGATATGTTCAGCTTTCATGTCTCTCCTATACCCTAAAAAAATATTTTTTAATGTCAGGCAGTGGTGACACACCCCTTTAATTCCAGCACCTGAGAGGTAGAGGCAAGAGGATCTCTGTGAGTTCCAGGATAGCCAGGATGGTTACACAGAGAAACCATGTCTCAATATATATATTATGTGTACAAGTGTTGCCTGAATATATGTTGTGTTATATGTGTATAATACCCACAGAGGCCAGGAAAGGGTATCAGATCCCCTGGAGCTGGAGTTACAGACAGCTGTGAGCCACCACCCGGGTGCTGGAAATTGAACCTGGGTCCCCAGACAGTGCAGGAATGAGCATTTCAGGCTTATCACATTTACACACACACTCACATGTAAGCACATACACTCACAGACGAACACGCACCTTTGCACCTGGAACCTCACACTCTCCCAGGTGCTGCACGCCACTGACACTTGTGAACACACGTCAGCACTCACAACTGCATACACTCACGTTTGCATGCACTCACGTGTGTACATAATGTGCATACTCACACATGCAAACACTCGTATTCTTGAATAGTCATCTATAGCCTCTCATATGTGTGCATTTCGTGTGTACACTTGCATATGATACGGGTTCACACATGCACACGACACACGCACACTTGTGTGCGCATGCCCACCCTGTACACCATCTGCGCTGTAGAAGCAGAAGGAATGAGTATGCTGCCACTGTCAAGGGGGTGCAAGGGTCACAACATCCGACCAAGACCAGCTAACCTGCAAAGCTAAGCCCCCACTCTTGTTCCCAGATGGCTGCACTGCTCTCTGCCAATGCTCCCCAGGAAACTTATCCACTTAGACTTGTCTTCTTCCTCCCTCCCCACTGTTTGAAAAGTGCCCCCTAAATCTATAACCTTATCGTTACAGCAGCAGGCAATCCAAATGCAGTCTCTCAGAGCCTGGATGGAGACCCTTGAGGCCTCGTTCCCTTTTCAAGCTCCTTGACCCTGCCCAAGTACCCTAGTTCCTTATCCAGCTTCAAAGCCATTAGTCCAACACCCTCCAGGCCCTCCTCCCTGTGTCTGAGCTCACATCTACTTTTCCAAGTTTGGCCCTCACACCTGCCTCTTGGAAGGTCTTTGGGGATTTCCTCATGCTGTCCGAGGGTGCCTCCCATGTCTGCATCCCACAACCCCTTCAGAAGGATCTAGATCTCTCCCAAGTAGCCCATGAGGAACCAGGAGAGTTTCTGCTTGGAGAGGGGGTGGGCCACAGGAGGTAAGGATTGCCCAGAATCTCAGGAACATTTTTAGAGTATATCTATGTAAGACAGGAAGGTCTCTGACAGGAAGGTCGCTGCCCACTGTTGGAACAGGCTAGCAGGAGGAGAGAGGTGAATTTTGGGGTGGCTTCTGGGAAGAGCCCACCAAATCTCTCTCCTCCCCAGCCCACATCACTCTTCATCACCCCAAGCCATTTACTGGACACGTTCATCAAAGACTTCCTCCAGCCCAATGAAAAGTTCTTGGAGCAGATCAGAAAAGCTGTTAACATCATCTGTGAATTCCTCAAAAACAACTGCTTCAAGGACTCAAGCACCAAAGTGCTGAAGGCCGTCAAGGTGAGCGCCGGCCTGTCGCTGTGCCAGCTCTTGGGAGCCAGGGAGACAAGGGTGAGGGCAGGCAGAATCTCACCTTCTCTTTCCTCCTAGGGAGGATCCACTGCCAAAGGCACGGCTCTGAAGAATGGATCAGATGCTGATATCGTAGTGTTTCTCAGCCCCCTGAAGAGTTACGACTCCCAAAACAAGGAGCGTGCATCGTTTGTCCAGGAAATCCAGAGGCAATTAGAAGTCTTCCGAAAGACCCAGGAGCTGGAGGTGAAGTTTGAGATTTCAAAGTGGAAGGCCCCCAGGGTGCTGAGCTTCACCTTGAAATCCAGGAGTCTCAACGAAAGTGTCGACTTTGATGTCCTGCCTGCCTATGATGCACTAGGTAGGAGTCCACAAACCCTAGCTCCTGAGAAGATTCTGGAAAACGTGGAGGAAAAGCCAGGGAGGGTTGGGTAATTCTCTCCCAGTTCTTGCCCAGGCCCCCGACACCTACATGCAATTCCACTCTGATATAAGCAGTCCAGGCAGCCTCAAGGAGCTGCTGGCTCTGTTCTCCATGGCGTGTGAGGGATGGCACATACAGTTACAAACAGATCATAGATAACATCCCTTCATTTCCTCTGTGGAGAAGGGAACTAAAGAACAGAATGTGGGGGGATTTGTGAGGTAAGAGACAGGAAATTGGGGGAAGAAAACTCCTCCTCAGAAAGCCCATTCACAGGTGAGAGATACAGAAATATATAGAATGAACGAAAGATCTCAAAGTAGGCTGGGGAGGTGGATCCACGGTAAGAGTGTTTGCCATTCAGTCATGGGGACCTGAGTTTTATCCCCAGCACCTGTATAAAAAGCCAGGCTCTATTGGAGGCACACTGGTCACCCCAGTACTGCCTGTGGAGGGAATGCGGGTGGAGAGAGAAAGGGTCTAGCTGAATCAGATTGAAGTTCAGGGGGAGACCCTGTCACAGTGGGATAAGGTGAAGGATGATACATCAAGACGGCCAACATCCTCCTTTGGACTCTCATGAGTGTGAACAGACAGGGACATGCACCCACATTCCCAAAGCAACTTAGAGGAAAAATGGTTTGTTTGACTTACACATCTAGATCTCAGTCCATCATGGAGGGCCATCACAGAGGGAAATAAGAGCAGAAACTCAAGGAAGGAACTTGAAGCAGAAACCACGGAGGAATGCTGCTTGCTGCCTCACTTATAGGTTTATCTTAGCTAGCTCTTAATCAGTCAAGAGAATGGTGCCACCCACAGTGGGCTGGTCCCTGTATCAAAATCAACTTCTCAGATTGACTCTAGGCTGCTTCGTGTTCTCTCTCTCTCTCTCTCTCTCTCTCTCTCTCTCTCTCTCTCTCACACACACACACACACACACACACACACTCGCACATACAGAGGCCACACACTATATGTGTGTGTATGTGTGTGTGTGTATTTCCTATATTAGAATTATGAAGACTATAGTATCTTCCACCTGAGTGGTTCTTGGGGCCCAGGGGTAATCAGGGTAAAACATTTACTTAGCATGTACAAGGCTCTGTGTTCAATGTCACCACCCCAAGGTAAAGCCCCATTGTTTGGGGCTGGAGCTCAGAGGCAGAGTATTTGCCTAGCATGAGGATCCTGGGTTTGACACATCTCTCCCCAACTGCAAACAAAAACCAGCTGCTTTGATTTCTTTCAGAAAAGAGACAGGAGTCTATAGAATGGGCTTCAGCCCACTTTTGTCTGTTTGTCTGTTTGCTCTTGAAATAGCGGCTGTGCTAGTCTGCCTCCTGTCACTGTGATAAACGTTTACTGGCCAAACTGGGTGGTGGTGGCACACACCTTTAATCCCAGCACTCAGGAAGCAGAGACAGGTAAATCTCTGTGAGCTCGAGGCCAACCTGGTCTACAAAGTGAGTTCCAGAACAGCCATGGCTACACAGAAAAACCCTGTCTTGGAAAACCACATAAATGAATAAATAATAAAGTTTTTTGAAAAACCACAGTTTTGAGGTCTGTAGAGAGTTTGTCTAATATACCCAAAACCTGGGTTCAACTCCCATACACTGGGCATGGGAGTACTCAGCTGTGATCTCAGCAGTCAGAAGGTGGAGTCAGGAGGATCAGAAATTCAAGATCAACTTTGGCTACATAGCAAGTTCAATGACAACCTTGGCTACCTGAAATCCTGTCTCGAAAAAGATTGGTTTTTTTACTCTGTTACTTACCATATACAATAGGACTAACATACAATCTCCTCCCATGTCAGGTCAGCGGCATCCTGGCTTCACCTCCAGACTCGAAGCCTACAAGGATCTCATTGCATTATGTAAATCATCAGGCGTCAAGGGTGGAGAGTTTTCCACGTGTTTTACAGAGCTACAGCGCGAGTTCATTAAATCCCGACCCACCAAACTGAAGAGTCTGATTCGCCTGGTCAAGCACTGGTACAAACAGGTCAGCCAGACCCTGCTTTGGCCAATGCGGTTGCTGTTTTACCAGCAAGCTAAGATACCAGCTTTGCCAACTGTCCTGAACCCCCCAAATCCTCCCGTGCTCGGGGCTGGGCCTCTGTAGGGAAGCTGTTGCTTGTTTATCCATGGGTCTTCTGATTGCATTCCGCTACTTGTGTATTAGGTCAGGCCTAAAGAGCCTCCTAACATCAGAGCAATGTTTGGCTTGTTCTGACCTCACACTGATCAAAGAATTCAGTGGCAGCCAAGTTCTCCTGAGAAGCATGGATGGAAGTTAAAGTTGCATGCCACAGGTTACCAGTACAGCTGTATGGACACCATGTTGTCTCTCAGAAGGCAACAGGAAGCTGTGGCTGAGACTCAAATCATCATGAGTGGCTGAGGCCTAGGGGACTGGGGAGCTCTGATTTGAATTTCAGCAAGTCACATGACTCCCTCAAGCACCCCCCCCCACTAGTCCACCTACCTCCCCATCCCACAGCCAATCTTCCTCTGACATGGCAATCCATGGTACAGGGCTCATAGCTAGCCTGCAGAGGGTCCTATCAGCCAGGAGTTACATTGCTGTCCAAACACAGGACACCATGTGTACCACTCTGCCTGCTGCTGAGTCTAGCAAGCCTGCCTAGGACTCTGGGGCTCCCTCTTTCAAATTCTGTTTCATAACCCTGTTGCCCGGCTGCAATCCAAGCAGTCCATGAGACACACTGGGCCCCTCTGCCTCGCCAAGGTCACCTGACATCTCCACTCTCCCCATCAGTGTGAAAGGAAAATGAAGCCCAAAGCATCCTTGCCCCCAAAGTACGCCCTGGAGCTACTCACCGTGTACGCCTGGGAGCAGGGCAGCGGCATGAATGATTTCAACATTGCTGAAGGCTTCCGGACGGTCCTGGACCTGGTCATCAAATACCAGCAGCTCTGCATCTTCTGGACAGTCAACTACAACTTCAAAGATGAGCCGATAAGGACGTTCCTACTGACCCAGATCCAGAAAAAGAGGTGCCTGTGCCCCAGTCCCCCACCCTGTTCTGAATTAACCCGATTCCCTTCTGTGCTATTTCTTCCATGACCTGGATTCTTCTCCCCAGGGTCTTGTTCATTCCCAGTGTGAAACTGAGGGAGAAGCTGCCAGATGAGTGACTCCAGGGAGAAAACCCAACCTCGGGAGTGGGAGGGGCTGGCCAGCCAGAAGGGATGCAGAAGCGGGGGAGGGGGGCAGGCAGAGGGAGCCCTCACTGCTTTCTTTCTTCTGTTATGTGGAAATGTGAAATGTATGCATTAGCCGACCTGAGAGGGGTCTGAGGTGGCAGGATATCCCTGAGAAATGGCATTGCCGTTTCCAGGCTCGAGTGCGCATGCACACACACACCAGTGCTGACCTACTTAGCAACAGTGTACTGTGACATCTTGTGGTTGGGTGAGAGTCTCTTGAAAGGGGTCATCACTACAGTTCACTGTGCGGTGTAAACAACAGCTTTCAGAAGAGTTTTTGGCTTTCAACTACAACAATTCAAGGAAGTTACTTTGACTCTTAAGTAGATTCAAATTGCTTGACCAAGGCTGCCAGGATACAGTGTGTCTTTGATGGGAATAGAGCAAGCGGTCTTGTAAACAAACAGTCCTTTCCTAGTCTCTAACTCTCAGCTCTCTTAGACCAGTAATTCTGGATCCAGCTGATCCCACAGGCGACCTGGGAGGAGGTGACCGCTGGTGTTGGCATCTTCTGGCTGAAGAAGCAAATGAGTGGCTCTCCTCCCTCTGTTTTGAACTGCAAAGTGGAGACTCGTGGCAGAGAGTGCAGCCGTGGAAAGTGCCAGTAAGAGTGCCCTGAAGAAAGTGGGTGGCTCTGTCACAAATCCAGTCAGAGGGATTTTCTTGCTATAGTAATTTGAAATTACTGAGCCCCCAAAAGAACCAAAAACTAGACTCCAGGAATTCTTTCAGTCAGTCATCCGCCCTGCTCCGGGTACCTAAAGACCCAGATAACTGAGAGTTGGGATCGTGAGGCACAGAGAAGGGGAAGGATGGGGCTTCTGAGGAAGTGATTCAGCAGAGTTCATTTTCCCAGAACCCACATAAATGCCGGGTGGGTGTGGCAGCCTCCTTATGATTCCAACCTTGGAAGGCTGAGTCAACAGAATCCCCAGAGCAAGCCAGATAGCAAAGCTAACCGTATCAGCTAGCTCTGGGTTTGATTGATAGAGCCTGCCTCAATAAATGAGGTGGAATAGTGACAGAGGATGAGTCCTCACAGCATCCGGGGCCTTATACACGTAGACATATGCATATACACACACGAAAACGTGCATACAAATGACATATGCATTGTACGCATGCAAACGTGCATACACGTCCATGCAATACAGAGAGAAAAACAAAAACAGAGGAAAAGAGGGCACGTAGTAAGTAGATTAGACTAAAAGCTTCATTGATGAATTTTTACACTTTTAAAAACCTAGAATTGTCGTTTGAGGCCAGCCTGGTCTACAAGAGCTAGCTCCAGGACAGGCTCCAAAGTTACAGAGAAACCCTGTCTCAAAAAAACAAAAACAAAAAAACCTAGAATTGTCACATGGTCACCTGTAGCTTTGAAAGTGGCTACCAAGCAAGGGGTAAAATTGTACTTTTGAAGCTTGGAATTCCTTCCCTCTCCACCCAAGATATACCAGGCACAGCCTTCCAGGCTACCCTCCCACAGGCAGGCACACTTTATTCTTCCTTCTGTGCCTCCTTGGCACTGTTGACTTCCGGGGACAAGGTGAGAAGGCTGTGCATTGTGAGATGCTGAACACTGTCCCCAGACTCCCTATGTACTTCCCAGTTGGAACCTGAGACATTGTGTTGTGTCTTCTGGTGAGAGAGAGTTTTGTTGTTGTGTTTCTCAAATCGCTTTTCCAGATTCTTTTCTGGAGACAGGTTCTCGCTGTGTGGCCCTGAATGATCTGGAACTCACTCTGCAGACAAGGCTGGCCTCGAACTCACAGAGATTCACCTGCCTGTGCTGGGATTAAAGGCGTCTGCCACCACACCCTTCTTTAAGCCCCCACCCCACCTGTCTTTTTCTCCCCAGGTAGTCCAGACCCCAGGAAGCTGTGGAGCTCATATCTACCCCACTGTGGGTATCTGAGTTGGAGTCCATCTCTGGGATGAAAATGCTAGCTAGATGAAGCCTCTAGAATCGACTGACCATTGATTTAAAGACTCAAGCCATGTTACAGAAGGGAGCGGGTCCAGTCCTCCCTGGCTGGTCCCCACCTCTCTTCTGCATTCCCAGACAACTCTGCTTGAAATCAAGACTTCGGATCTGCTCCCCCTCCCACCCTAGGGTCTCACATTTTGGACACCCCTCTGTGCAAGTGACCTTCAGAGATGCTTGCCCCCAAGCAGCGTGCTGTGTTCCCATTCTATATGTTTTTCCCTGTTTCCTTCTCTCCATGCCTCTCTTCAGCTCCAGACTCACCCTGTGTCACCAAGGTTGAGCCCCTCCCTTGCCCTTCATTTCCAGCAGTCCCAGTTAGCTCTCAGTCTCTCACTGCCTCTTTGCTGAGCTCTTCCCTCCATCCACAGGCCTTCCCTGCCTGTGTGGAAGCAGAGGTGTCCAGCCCAGCCGCCAGCCAACCCTCTCCCTCTACCCCTGCTGCTAAAACAACTTCTCTTGGGGAAATGTAAACAACATGTACCCCTCCTCCTAAGGTCCCCGGACAAACCAAGGTCTGAGGAACCAAAGAGTTCATTGGTCTTACCTGCAGCATGTGGGTGAGGGGTCGTGGGCAGGGCTGAAGTGACTCTAACTCTGCTGCACTGTAATGTCCTCACCCACTGTGAATGGTGGCTTCCCCAGGGCTGCCTAGAGGGCACCCTGTCCCCTCATCTTTCCCCTCATATCCTCTAACCCCTCCCAGAGACCACGTGTAAATAGGGCAGAGCAGCATACAGCTGGTTGGAACTGGTTGCTGAAGTAAGAGTCCTTAACCTTCCCACACCCCTCTTCCAAGGGGGAAGACGTATAGTCAGCAGGCCCAGTTGTGATATTCTAGGATGAGCTGGCTCAGGTCGACTCCTGAAGATGGCAGTAGTTTATCTCGGAGGGTAGTTCTATACAAAGCTTCACGCCAAGGGTGGTTGATACCTCCTGCCTTAGCCTTGAGAGCTGCCCTTACATTCTTGGCTGCCCAGTGCCCTCACCCCAGCATTTCAACTATATTGGTGCATAAGGGCTTAGCCCCATGCATCCTCACGCAAGGTTGTCCCTTCTCTCCATGGCTCTGACATGCTGCCGGTCCCTGTACCACTTCTCATCATAGAACCGCAGCACCTAGGGAGTTTACTGCTGTAGGACTCCTTTGTCATCTCTGGATGTAAGCTATGAGGTGACTCAAGTTGGGCCCTGAGAGAGTTTCAAGGGAGGAGCTTGCCCAGGCAAGAACCCCAGGCAAGTGATTAGAGGGCCAGAATATGAGACATGGTCCCCTCTGCAGGGAAGGGGTAGCGCTAGAGTTCAATCCTATGACCAATGATGGGATCAGGCACCCCTAAGTGTTGAGACCCCGTCAACATCTCTGGATAAAAAGGTTCTAGAAGTTGCCCCATCAATAAACATCCCATTGTATCAAGAAGGGTAATGTCATGCCTCCGTGGGGACAGATGCTTCTGGGTCTATCAACTCCCTGGACTTCTACACTACATATCATATTTGGCTATTCATTTCTATGCTTTATAATAAACAGTGACCTTGGGTGCATCCTTTCTTCCCTCCTTGAGCTATTTTGATAAATTGTGAACCCAGAAGGGGGTCATGTGTGCAACTCACAGAAATACAGACCTACAAGGAACACAGTGAGAGACTCAGAGGGGACAAAGGGAACTCATTCTCTCCCGTCAATGTCCTTTTAACATCTTAAAGTCATGGGACACAGAAGAAGAGAGAATTCACAGTGACCAGGGAACATGCCATCACGGGTTGTTACTGGATCTAGGACGCCAGCACTTTCTCAGAAAACTGGCGATTGATGATTATGAACAAGAAGTAATTAAACCCGGGCCCACCTGTGCAATCACGTCAAGATAACTAATGAGGAAAATGTACTGTCATTAATGGTTTTCAGGAAGATTTGATTCAGTCAGTGCTGGAATACAAAGTCAGAACCATCACCATTTTGGAAGCTCTGGCGATGTAATGATGTAGGAGTAGCTGTCGCTGCATGAAGTCATTGGATGCAATGCTGATGGGGACACTGTAGCCTGGGTCTGGATGTCACCTCCCAGCCCACAGCTAATCACATCAACAGGATGGGGTCATTGCTGTTGGAGGTGGGCCCTGGGCTCCATTGCACTTAAACAACAAAAGATAAAAACTAGGAGGGAGACGGTCAATCCTGGCATGTAGCCCACAGCATAAGCGGTGTGTTCTTGTGAATTTGACAAAATCATTTTGGGTACAAGAACCAAAAGAAGGGGCTGTGGCAATAGCTCAGTAGGTTAACTGCTTGCTGCACAAACACAAGGACCCAACACCTACATAAATGCAGGGCGCGGTGGCATGCCTGCAACCTGAGAGCCGGAGGGAGGAGACATGAGGCGCTCAAGAACTGTAGCCAGCCAGCCCAGCCAAAATAACAAGCTCCGTATTCAATGAAAGACCTTGTCTCAGAAAATAAAGTGGGGTCGGTGAGATGGCCTGGCTGGTGAAGGGGCTTGCCACCAAGGCTGTTGACCTGAGTTTGACTCCCTAGAACCAATCACCGTGGAAGGAAAGATCCAACTTCAAGTTGGCCTCTAACTTCCACGTTCATGCTACACCACGCCTATGTGCACGTGCCATGGTTAAGCTTGCCCCCGGCACCCATTCCGTAGGCATCAGTCCCTTTACTCCTCTGTAGTCTACCAGCCTCTCAAGACTGTGGCAGAACCATCCAAGATCAGCATTTAAGGGTTGGCAGCTCTGCCTCTTTTATTGGTGTTCGAAGGGGAAAGCTCAGCGTGCCAGGGACGGGGAAGAGGGGGAGCGGGAGAGAATGAAAATGCCCTGTCCCGATCCTGTGGAATTTTGTCAAAGGACAACTGAAGGACCCTAGGAGCCCCAAAGCTGGTCATGACTATTCTCATGGGCAGAGTCAAAGGAATACCGCCGGAGCTGGGTGAGTTGGGCTTTCAGGGTTCTCAGTACAGTGGCATGGGCAGGCCGAGTCGAGATGAGGTGATGTCTCTGTCCTGTTCTCTGGGATCCAGAAGACACCTGAGAGGAGGGAGCAGAGAACAGAGAGGAGGAAAACTGACTCCTTTGCCCGCTCTCTCCCCCCCCCCCCGTACAGATTCATGTGTGCATGTGTGTGTGCTACCCCATCCTGCTCTCTGTACACATCCGTGTGTGCATGTGTGTGTGCTACCCCATCCTACTCTCTGTACACATCCGTGTGTGCATGTGTGTGCCTCCCCATCCTGCTCTCTGTACACATCCGTGTGTGCATATGTGTGTGCTACCCCATCCTGCTCTCTGTACACATCCGTGTGTGCATATGTGTGTGCTACCCCATCCTGCTCTCTGTACACATCCGTGTGTGCATGTGTGTGCCTCCCCATCCTGCTCTCTGTACAAATCCATGTGCGCATGTGTGTGTGCCACCCCATCCTGCTCTCTGTACACATCCGTGTGCGCATGTGTGTGTGCCTCCCCATCCTGCTCTCAGTACACATCCCTGTGTGCATGTGTGTGTGCTACCCCATCCTGCTCTCTGTACACATCCCTGTGTGCATGTGTGTGTGCTACCCCATCCTGCTCTCTGTACAGATTCGTGTGTGCATGTGTGTGTGCTACCCCATCCTGCTCTCTGTACAGATTTGTGTGTGCATGTGTGTGTGCCTCCCCATCCTGCTCTCTGTTCACATACGTGTGTGCATGTGTGTGCCTCCCCATCCTGCTCTCTATTCACATCTGTTTGTGCATGTGTGTGTGCCTCCCCATTCTGCTCTCTGTACACATCCTTGTGCGCATATGTGTGTGTGCCTCCCATCCTGCTCTTTCTCTACTTGAAATAGCAATGCCGGGGATTGGTCCTCTTTCTTCTAGTTCCTCCTTTGTTCAACTTCAAGCCCTCATGTGGAGCTTTCCAGAGTCTCAGGGGAGACAGAGACAAGACTTTGAGGGGTCAGCAAAACTCATCTGGGTTTCCGGAAGTAAGTAAGGGGTGGGCAGTCTATGGCTCCTGGGGCAGTGCAGTTCTGAGGCAGCCCCCCAAGAGGTACGCCATCAGGGCGAGCACACACAGACTGGACCATAGCAAGAGTCTCCAGCTGAAACAAGGAGGCAACTGGGATCTCAGGGGCTGGGGTGGACACATAGCTGAGGACCTCCTGGAGGGGGGCACTGAGGGTCGCATAGGCAAAACAACATATATCTGAGAGAGTACCAGTCTCTGGGGATCCTCATAAGTGGTAGAGAAGCACACCCCCCATAATCAAAGTAGAATTTAAACAAAACTACACCAACTAAAATAAAACGAAAGCATTCCTTGCTCCTCACACCCCAGAACGCCCATGCTGCAGCCTGGGAGACGTTCCCACCCATCCTGGAACACTCCATCTCATTCTGCATTTCTCTGTGCCTCTCAGTCCCTCCCGCCTTTACTATTCCCATTCTGGGAAGCTGAGACTTCCGGGGGCTCCGGGGGCAGGGGGTTGAAGAGTGGTGGGCCTTTTGATTCAATTATCGTCAAATGTAAAAGTAAACTGAGGCCTGGAGAGCTGAGGCCCAAAGTCAAGGTCAATCATCAAGGACGTGGCTAGGCTGGGACTTGAACCCAGCCTCCCATCACATCAACACCACGGTTTCTCATCTGTCTCCATAGCAACCTTAACAATGACTCTGCAGATTTTGTTGGTCCAATGGAGGACACCACTGTGACCCAGAGCTGCCTGAGGAGCCCTCCTTCTTGCTCTGCGTGGCATTCTGGGTGTAACACCCCTGGCATCTAGAGGGCTGTCTTGAACAGGATGCTAAGACCCACCAAGGACAGGCACACTGTCGCCGGGGAGCTGCAGTCTCCTGTACCTCATGTTCCTCTCCTCTCTTCCTGGGTCTCTGCCTTCCTTCACTGTGGTGCTCTGGCTCTTGCTGTGGCTGTGCTTTCTACCCACCTTGTGTTGTTGAAGAGAATAATTCACCACACAGGAAACAGGAAAGCCCTAAGATGTGCTCAGGGGCTGGGAGAAGACACTGAAATGGGATGGGACCACAGAGGGCCATTCTGCTTCGAACGGAAGCATCTTTCAGTAGCCCACAGGGGTAGCCACTAGGAGACGGGGGACAGGCCAGGAATGGCTCAGAAAGACTTCTTATTCTCTTCCTTGGCATCTCCATGCCCAAAGGACACTGGACAGATGCCTCAATTAACCCCAATTAACATGGTGGCTTTTCCGAAACCATTCTTCTTTTTTTGTTGTTGTTGTTTTGTTTGGGGTTTTTTTTCTTTGTTTGTTTTGGTTTTTGAGACAGGGTTTCTCTGTAGTTTTGGGGCTTGTCCTGGAACTAGCTCTTGTAGACCAGGCTTGCCTCAAATTCACAGAGATCTGCCTGCCTCTGCCTCCTGAGTGCTGGGATTAAAGGCCTGCGCCACCACCGCCTGGCAACCACTCTTCTATCTATATGAGAAACAGCTCTTTCTCATGGATCTCAAATTTGACCCTGTGAGTTTGAAGTTTCAAAGGAGTTTTAGTTGCTTTGCTTTGAGAAAGGGTCTCCTGTGTAGTACAGGCTGGCTCTGTAAGTAGCCAAAGATGACTTTAAACCCTTGATCTTCCTGCCCCTACATCCTAAATCCTGGGACTACAAGTCTAGACTTCCTGTTTTTTGATAGTTGTCTTCCAAGATTTGGGGGAGGGGATTGCCCAGTACCTGTCTAATTTTGAGTTTGAATCATCTGGCATTCTCTGTGTGCCTGCAACTCCCCCACTGGGATACAGAAGGCAGGAGGATTGCAAGTTCCATGAGGGGCCAACCTAGCCTCAGTGATAAGTTCCACAGTCATCAGTCAGAGACTGCCTCGAAAAATAAGGTAGAATGGCCTCCACATAGACACATACATATCATCCACCCTTGTGAGCACACACAGTGTGGGGAGAGAGAGATGGAGGGGAGAGAATTTCCTTCCGAGATTGTTAACCTCACAAGATCTAGAGCCACACAGGAGACAAACCTCCAGCCGTGTCTTTGAGGGGCTTTCTTGGTTGAGTTAGCTGATGTGGAAAGATTCACCCCAAATGTGGGCAGCATCACCCCACGAGCTGGGGTCCTGAACTAAATCCAGAGGAGAAAATGAGCTGAGCACCGGCGTTCCCCTCCCTCTCTCTCTCTCTCTCTCTCTCTCTCTCTCTCTCTCTCTCTCTCTGTTTCCTGATTGTGGATGTCATGTGACCGGCTGCACCTGTGCATCCTTCCTCATAATAGTGGGCTTCACCCTCAAACGGTGAGCTGTGAGCTGAAATAAATCCTTCCTTGCTTCTTCTTCTTCTCTTTTTCTTTTCAAGACAGGTTTTCTGTAGTTTTGGAGCCCCTCTTGGGACTCACCATGTAGACCAGGCTGACCTCAAACTCACAGAGATCCACCTGCCTCTGCCTCTGGAGTACTGGGGTTAAAGGCATGTACCAACTCTACCTGGCAAATCCTTCCTTCTTAAATTGTTTGTTTTTTGTTTTGGCTTGTTTTGGTTTGGTTTAGTTTGGTTTGGTTTTTTTC